GAAATCATAGTTATGTTTCGATGGATCCCATGATTTTAGTTTAGAATATTATCAAATTAATGTTAGATATAGTCAAAATTTATGATAACAAAGAAACAATTAATTTCGAATACTTTATTGGGAGTTAGTAATCCAAACTGTTCGTTGGATATCTGCCGAGTAGATTGAAGCAAGTTTTTATTATTAAATAAAGTATTATTTTTTGGTTATATATTTAAAGGAAGGTTCTATAGCCTTTAATTTTAAATCAATGTAAGTGCCTATTGAGTAAACTTTATTTTTATGTTTTTAAATTGAAGATAACTAAATGTTTAACTTTTTGCTTATATTTGAAGTTTTTATTTCTTAGAACAGAAGTTGCATAATCTGAGATTATTAAATAATATTAAACAATTCATTTATTAATGTGATGTCAGTTTAGCAATTTATGGAATCAACTTAATCAGTCTTTCCATAATTAACAAAATAAAAAGTTTCAATTTTCAATTTAACTGAAATTAAAATACACTTTAACTGAACTTGACAAATGGGTTTTTTATTAATTAAAATCCAAAATAACCATTCCATTTAACTACACATAATATTGTATAATTCATTGATTTAATTTTAATTTTTCATATAAAAAATTATCAGAATAAATTTATTAAACCATTATTATATCAAGATTAAAAACTTAAAAATTTATATTTATTTATTTTAAAAAAAATGGTTAATTTTTCGTCTGTATTTGAGAAGATTTAAAAGGTTATTATTTAAATATATCTTGATTTAGGTCCTTTTATAAGCATTTATTTACCTTTAAGACAATGTATTTTCAGGACGATCTGAGTAGTTACAACATAAAATATAAATGATCATTTCTCATATAAAATATTTTTTTTACATAAAAAGATAAAATTACCATTATCTTCATCATCAATTTTCGGTTGATTAATTTTTTTTACTCCTATATTATTAAAATATTTCCAAGAGTTAGTGAAAAGCCCGGTGTTGTTCGCGGCAAGATCCTTAACGGGGTTGCAAAGCTAAATAAGCGAGGCATCTATGTACAGCAGACGGGAGCGAAAGCACACGTGCAAACTCTGGAACCATACCTCTAAACCTGTATTGGTACTTACCGTCATTCATTCTTCCTCTTGCTTTTTTTCTTAAATAAAACTGACTTTCTCAAATAGACTTTACATCTTTTTGAACGGCTCGTCGACGGTTAACCATTTTTTCGAATGAAATGTTATTTTTTTTGCAAAAAATGAAATCGAATGAAATGTTTTTCTTTTATAACGAAAATGATACAGTATATACAGTATATGTATGGATTGGCGTGGAATATTGAAATTTTCAGAAAACGTGAGTAAATCACCATGACTATGGAAATATATTTTCCCTTAAAATATATATATATATATATCTCTAATTATAAACAAATGAACTTGAATCATTTCCAAAAATGTATTTTAAAATATAATATATTCGGGATAGTTAAGAAATTTGATATACAACGAAATAATATAGATAGATTTTAGAATAATAATATATATATTTTTTTTATACAAATAAAATTTAGATTTTACATTTTTTTTTTTTTAATATTTCGGAGAATGAGACTTTTAGAGAGCGTGGGACGCGGGAAATTATTTCAATCATTAGAAACAGACGGGATATATTTTTTTTATGGCAGCGAAACACATTTTTAATATGGCGAAACAATTTTCCCCTTTTTTTTTTTTTATTTTTTTTTTGTATTGTTATCATAAATCGTGCATAAATAAAAACCCCCAATTGTACGACATGAAAAAAATTATATTTCATCTAAAATAATTGCTTATTTAATCCAATTATTTCTTTTAACAATAATATAATCCTCTTGTAAAAAAATACAATTTGTAATTTAATTTATTATTTTTTTTTTTAAAAAATAAATTAATAGGACTCTAATTGGATATTCGCATTTCCAAAAGAAAAGATTTATAAAAATTGTAGAACAAAATTATTTTGAATTCCATTTGACTTGGTCGGTCGTAATTAAATTACTCGAGACCTGAATTTGCTTTGCTCATATGTCGAATGATTTTATTATGTACTAAACGAGTTCTGTGAACTATACTTGTTTTTTTAAATTCATTTATCAATAATAGCTAGAGCTTATCTTGCGACTACGGGTAAAAGGTTATCATAATTATCATAATTATACATTAAAAATATTTTATTATTAAATGAGCACTCCAGTGTAGCGAGTCTGGTCAAGTAGCAACCGAAAATATTACCTAGAATATTTTTTTAAGTTGATTACATACTCATATCGAATTGTTTACTTCAATACTAAAAAAAAATTTACGAAATGTGATTTCTACAAACTAGGATTTGAAATTTATTAATTGTTTACTTGTTCACAAACTTATTTAAAATTGTTAATGATCAAAGTCGCAAAAGGAATAGCGGAAGAAATGTATTGAAGTGAGACTTAAGTTAAAAAGAACTTAATAATACCTAAGTTCATGTATAATAATTAAATTCATATACTGATAGCAAACAAATAACAAATATACTAAGTATGACAATAATATAAGTCAGCCAAACTAATTAACGTGATAAATTCCGCAAATTATTGACTAAAAAAAGCATAAAGAATTATTATTGAAAAGTTAGACACTGGTATATGCATCGGTGTACTGGCAAAACATTATGGCTTGACATTTAGCAAAAATCTAATCTAGTTTTGATATTTTTTTAAAAGACAAACCGCGTCAGTGGCAAAACCTATCAATCTTTTGATATCACTAGGGACCGGTTTCAGAAACCGTTGTTAAGTCCGGAGCACAAGTGTAACGAACCACGTATCGACTCAAATTTTGAGCGGGAGGACAAACAGACACCGGGCACAGACTTATATAGTCCTTCGCTCCAGACTAAAAATGAGACCCTCAAAATAGGATTCCCTCCGAGTACAATTTAATATATAATTAGTTCAAATGACTCAAATGGACCGGTCATGTGTCATTTGGATCATTTCAACATTAAATGACTCACTGCTAAGTGTAACCATTATAGTGTTATCAATCGATGTTAAATACTTCGGAATGAAGTTTAATAAAAGTTTAAAGATGAAGTTTCCTCAAAACAAAAGAATCTAAACAGAGTCTTCTAAAAAATTCCTTAATACTATGCCCCGTAAGCTTCGAGTTATGATAATATCATCACACCATTGGTGATTGTTACTAACTTTACTCTGTACCCGTGTCTGTAATCTTAATAAAATTATATGTTGTCTTAGAAAAAGGAAAAAGATAGTAAGCCTTTGAGCTGTGATAAACTATGAAACACTTAACTTTTAGATTTTTTGCATACTAGAGCAAAGTATGAATGAAGGTAAGAAAATAATATTGAATGGTTGATTCCATATTCTTCTTTTCCATGTTTCTATAGAGGAACTCACCTATCGCTGAGTTTTGAAAGTGTCTTACCAAAGCAAACTTTATTTTTTCCATTTTCCAATATATGTATTTGGATAATTCACTCGTTAAGTCAAAATGAGTCGGATGGGATTGTTATTTTTGAAAAAAAATCCAAATATACAACTATTCCTTAATTATCTCCTATGGAAATCCGAAACCCAAATTGCATTATTTGTCTAGGTATTCACAACGATCTATCTGTTAATTTTCAGCCGCCTTTCATCTATTTTTACATATTATATGTTTATTCTTGTGGCTGCTACACGTGGTTAATTATTTGGGCGTTTAAGCGATTTAGGGAAATCAGATTTTCATTTATAATTTTTACTTTTGGATATTGAACATAGAAAACATTAAATTAATATGAAGTATAAAAAAAAATAAATAAATAAAAAATAATAATATTTTTAAAAGAAATGAAATGCTTGAAGAAAAGAAAAAGAAGTAAAAATATATATTAACATTAAATAAAAACTTTTCAGGAATTTTTTGTTTATATTTCTTGGAAATGATCACTAACTTTCATATGAAACGTAATTAATATAACTTCAGCAGCAATTTGTTAAGATAATCCTCATCGCATGTGAATAAGTTGGTTAAGGTACAATGTAAAGAGAATTATAATATTTTAAATGTAATTGTATCCAAATCTCCAGATGATCCTGTTAGAATTTTGAATGCGAATCATCCGAGGCAATCTGAAAATATATTTGTAAAGGCGGACAAGAAATTGCCAAGATCATAAGATTTAATATTTCATAATTTTTGCGAGTTGTGATTCAACATTGGTGATGTGTATGATAGAAAGCGATACATGTAATATGTTATAAGTTAATGCCCAAAATTCAAACAATAGTTCTGGTTTATGTCGATCATTTTATAATTTTCAGAAAGCAGTAGTTTAACTTTATTTGGTAAGACAATAAGCGGTTAGATTTATCCGATCACCCTAGGCTATTTATGGAAAAAATTATCATAGGAAAAATTTAAACCGAGGGCTGAGTAAAAGTTGGGTAAATTTCTATGCAAGGAAAAAAAAAAAATACTTTTTAGCCTATCCAAACCAAAAAAAATTAAAAACAAAAATGGTTTTAAAGAATATAGAAAAAACCCTAAAAGACTTGGAAACGAGAATTAAGGAATTAGAGCAAAGTAACGAAGGATTACGTTCAGAATTAATATATTTAGAAAAAAAGGTCAGAGAGCGAGAAGAAGAAACCAAAATCATTATTAATAATTTAGAAGAAAAAGCTAAAGCACGAGAAGAAGGAACTAATGCCAAAATTAATAATTTAGAAGAAAAATTTAAAGTTCAAGAAGAAATCAAAACCAATATTAATAATTTAGAAGTTAAGATAAGAGAACGAGAAGAAATGTCCAAAGAAAAGCAAGAAATTAATGAATTAGAAAACAGAATCAGAAGTCTTGAATTAACTATTTATGATGATACAATTGATTGTTTAACTATTACAAATAATAAGGATAACATATTGAACACCTTGGGCGAATTGCAAAGATATCGTAAATTGACAAAACTCAATTGTAGTAATACGCAAATAACCTGCTTACCAACATTACCTAACTCCTTAATTGAACTCAATTGTGATTCTACTCTAATAAGTAGTTTACCAAATTTACCCGATTCTTTAACGACACTCTATTGTTATGACACTAAAATTTCCAGCTTGCCAACCTTACCTAATTCCTTAACAAAACTCTCGTGCTCTAAAACTCAAATAACCATCTTACCTACTTTACCTAAGTCCTTAACGAACGTCTGGTGCCATGAAACTCAAATAACCAGCTTACCAACGTTACCTAACTCCTTAACGGAACTCAATTGTGATTCTACTCTAATAAGTAGTTTACCAAATTTACCCGATTCTTTAACGACACTCTATTGTTATAACACTAAAATTTCCAGCTTGCCAACCTTACCTAATTCCTTAACAAAACTCTCGTGCTCTAAAACTCAAATAACCATC